TTATTAAAATGGTAGTAAATAAAGGTGTTTCATTTAAAATATTTACGGATGAAGGATTTCAGTTGGTTACAGGCCACTTAGGTAAAACTTTTGGATTCATTACTGGACAAGATTCTGTATGCAACTTGATTAATGAATTTGCTGAAAAAAAGAAAGCTGAGATAAAGGAATTATTGTTGCAGAAATTTATTTATGTGAAAATAGATGTAGCTGCTCAACAGCAAAAGAAACTATTTGGAAATAAATATTATTATGCTGGAAAAAATTTAAAAACTTTGGCACTGATAGATACACAAGGACAACACAACCCTGCTGCTATCAAAAAAATGGTGGAAGATGCACTGTGTTATTCACACTTTGCAGCTAGCGATTTGTATGATTTTAAAAAAAAACATACATTGCTCAACTTTTGCAAAAGTCTGTTGTAAAGAAACTAAGAAACTTACATACAATATTTTTAGCAAGAAAGCAATACAAGGTTGTTTAAATTTTGTATAATGAAACTTGCAATGTTCTTTGTAAGCCGTATTTACAGTAACTATCTTGAAACTGAAGTTGATACTTTGTCTTATTGTTATCTTGGATTTATTTTTTGTCTTTATGTTTAACAAATGATTTAGGATTTTTATACATATATTGTCAATTTATGTGTCAGTGTTTTCAATGTTATATTTTGCACACAGTAATAATGCACTATGGATCAAAGTCCAATGCTTCGGTATATTGTTACTAATAATTTACTGTGAAAGCCTAGTTTTTTTAGACTTCTAATTAGGTACTGAGCTGAGGTGAATTTGGGCTTGATGCGACACCAGTTTTGGTCGGTGTTTATTTCAATATTTAAATCTAATCCTAGGTATTTATATGAGGTTACATATTCGAGAGCTGTAGAGTTGATGGAAACAATTGGTGGTAGGCGTGTGTCGAGTTTGTTACTAGGTATGTTCATGATTTTGCATTTTGTTGTGTTTAGTAATATTTGGTTTTTAATGCACCAGCTTTTAACTTTGTTGCGTATTTTCTGTGGTAGAGTTGAGTGGGCTAGGTCTCCAACAATGTATGCAAGAATGTCATCAGCAAATTTGTAAAGTTTAGTATTGCAGTTAAATATATCATTTGTATCAAGTATGAAGAGTATAAAAAGAACGAGTCTAAGTGCACTGCCTTGGATGACTCCAGCTTCCACAGGTTGTCATTCTGTTGCTATGCTGTTAATATAAACTTGCTGATATCTGGTCTGTAGGTACGATGCAATCCAGGAAATAAGCCATTTAGGGAGGTATATTGTTAATTTGGTAAGAAGAAGTTTGTGATCAATTACGTCAAAGGCTTTAGCAAAGACAAAAAATATTGCAATTAAATTTTTCTTTTTGTCTTTAGCAAAATGTCAGTCTTCTATGACACATGAGATTGCATCTTCTATGACACATGAGATTGCATCTTCTATGACACATGAGATTGTGCTTTTCCCTGGTAGGAACCCATATTATTTGTTGTTTTCTAAGATGGTGTCAGTATGTTGGATAATAAATTTGGTGACAACTCTTTCTAATGTCTTGTGGAGGTGGGATGTGAGTGAGATTGGACGTTACTGACCAGTTACTTGGGTTTGGTAATTTAGCGATAGGTGTTATGTTGGCAAGTTTCTATTGATAAGGCGTAAATGAGTGAGACAAACACTTGTTAAACAGAAGACTTACAATATCGGAGATTTCAAGACGAAGGCATTTGAGTAGTTTCGGGGAGATCTGGTTGGGTCCAGGTGATCCTTGTTTTAAATTTTTTAAAAGATTTGAAACAATGCCTGTAGTAAAAAGTAGAGGTACGTTTTGGCGGTTTGAATTAATTATAAAGCGAGATATGTCCGGCTCCTTTGAACCATTCCAGACACTGTAAAATCCTTCGTTTAATTGCTTTGCTGAATCTGTATCAATGGATTGGTTTTTCAAGGCATTTTTAATTTTATTTTGTTCCACCAGGTGCTGGTTTTTTTAGTGAGGCCACTATAGATTTGTTTTAAGTTAAATATTTAACAAAACGTAGACAAAAAACTCTTTGTTCGTTATACACTCTTTTGTGTCAAACCTTCAAATTCTTGTCTCAAAATGATGGATGTTTTTTATTATATGATCTAGTTTGTTTAATAGGCACTTTGAGTAATGATTGTTATGCGAAAAAGTTCTCTCTGGACATCCATGGTTTATCATTGCCAATTTTTGTTGATTTTAATGGTTAGTGATAATTTTCTATCTGAATAATGTGTTGGTAGAATAAGTCGAGTGCTATTTGTCCATTGTTTTTAGAAAAGTTTAACAAATGACTTGGGATGATTTGTTTCCAATTTGTTTGTATCAGAGCTTCTGCCGTTTCTGCAATGTTACCAGATCTGTATGTTGCTAATGTAGGTGCTGGTTTAGTCTTGCAATTTAATGAATTTAATGGAAAAGCATGGACTATATCATGATCTGACTTCAAAAGCAGTGGAAGGTTTGTGCATTTG